ATGGCAAATAAACACATGAAAAGATGCTCAACATCAGCAGTCATTAGGTAAATACAAGTCACACTCACAAAGAGATAATATTGTACTTCACAACATCAAAAAGACAGACAAGTGTTAGGAGACTGTAGAGAAATTAGAACACTCCTACATTGCTGGCGAGTGTGTCAAATGGTGCATCATGTTGGAAAACTATTTGAAAGTTCCTCAAAATGGTAAGTGTAGAATTACCACATGATCAAGCAATTCTATTCCTGGTTACATACCCAAGAGAAATAAAAATGTATGTCCACACATAAACTTGTATTTGAATATATGTAGTGGCATTGTTCCCAGTAGCCAAACAATCGAAATGAATAAGATGTCTATCGACCAATGAAAGAATAAACGAAGTGTGTTTCTGTACAATGGGATACTATTCAGCTGTCTAAAGGAATGAAGTCCTGATGCAGCTTGTTGCAGCAAGTACTGGTACAACATGGACAAATCTTGAAAACACTATGCTAAATGGACTGAACACTATATGATTATGTTTCTCTGAAATGCCCAGGAAAAGAACTCATAAAGATACATAGTAGATCAGTGGTTGTCTGGGGCTGCAGTGGGAGAAGAGGAGAAATGGGGAGTGTGATGAGCTGGAACATGGCTTCCCAAAAGATCTCCACACCCTAATCCCTGGAACCACTCAATATTATTCTGTATTAGTTTCAGATGCACAGCAAAGTGGTTAGACAATCATGTACTTTACAGAGTAGCCCCCCCCCCATATTCCGAGTACCCACCTGGCCCTGCATATGTAGTTATCACGAGATTACTGACTATATTCCCTATGCTGTAATTTACATCTCTGTGGCTGTTCTATAACTACCAATCTGTGCTGCTTAACTGCTTTACCTTTTCCACCCAGCCCCCAACCCTCTTCTCCAAACTGTCAGTCCATTCTCTGTATCTATGAGTCTGTTTCTATTTTGTTTGTTTCTTTTGTCCTTTAGATTCCACATGTAAGTGAAGTAAACAATAGGTCTTAGCAGAGGAGATTAAGTTCAGGATTCTGAGATGGGGAGGTGATCCCGGATTATGGGCCTGGGCACTAAATGCAATCCCACGTTTCCTTATAAGACAAAGGCTGCGGGAGATGTGAATGCACAGGGGAGAAGGTGATGTGGGGATGGAGCAGACTTCGGAGATGCTGGCCTTGAGGACTGCAGTGACGAGGTCACAAGCCGTGGAGTGTCAGCACCCACCACTGTAAGCTGGGAGAGGCATGGATTCTTCCCCAGAGTCACCAGAGAAACCTCAGCCCTGCCAACACCTTCATCCTGGCCCAGTGATACCGTTTCAAACTTCTGGCCTCCAGAACTGTGAAAAAATAAGTTTGTGTTGTTTTAAGCCCCTCAGTGTGTAGAAATAGGAAACCAGTCCAGAGTTTGACTGCTGATGGACGTGGGGATATGGAGTTCCATTTGGGGTGGAGAAAATGTTGCAGATTTGGGTTTTGGTTGTACAACTCAGGGATTATGCTAAACACCACTGAATTGTACAGTTTAAATGAGTCAGTTTTATATTATGTGAATCACATCTCAGTAAGACTGTCAAATAAATCTTTGTGACCTTGGGTTAAGCAAAGATTTCTTAGATGTGACATGAAAAGTATGAGCCAAAAAAATGGTATATTGCACTATATCAAAATGAAAAAGTTCTGCTTCTGAAATATACTTCTAATAAAACGACAAACAACAGACTGGGGAAATGTTTGTAATGCATGTATTTAATGAAAGAATACATCAGAACAGCCCTGGCCAGTGGCCCAGGCGGTGGGAGTGCCATCCTGCACACCAAGGAGTTGTGGGTTCTGCTCTCAGAGGCAACTGATTGATGTTTCTCTGGAATCAGTGTTTCTCTCTCTTTCCCTCCCTCCCTCTCTAAAATCAATAAAAAACACACATATCCTTGGGTGAGGATTAGAAGAAAAAAGAGTACCATCAGGATATATAAAGATCACAAGCTTCTATAATAAGAAAACAAAAATGAGAAGATGTGAACAGACACTATCTTAGAGAAGATATATTGATGGCAAATAAGCACAATAAAAGATGTCCAGTATTCTTAGAGAGATGCAAAATAAAGCCACATTGAATACGACCACACACCTATTAGAATGGGGGTGTTCAACACCTGACAGTATCAAAGTGCTACCAAGAATAGGGAACAAGTGAAACATAGCTGGGAGAAATGCAAAATGGTGCAGCCACACTGGGGAACAATTTGTCAGTTTTTAAAACATTAAACATAATCTTGCCATACAACCCAGCAACCCCACTCTAGGGATTTACCCAGTGAAACGTAAACTTATGATCATACAAAAACCTGGGTACACATATTTGTAGTGGTTTTGTCTGAAATATCCCAACTGCACAGCAACCTGAATGACCCTCAGCTGGGATGTGGGTAAACAAGCTGTGGTACATCCATACAACGGGATCCTACTTTGCAATAAAGAGGAGCAAACCACTAAAATACCCAACACACATCTCGAATGCATTATGCTAAGGGGAAGAAGCCATACTGTATCATTACATTTTTGTAACATCTAGAAAAGGCAAAACTAAAGACAGGAAAAAACCCAGGTCATTGTTTGCTGGGAACTGAGGGTGGAGTGAGGGGCTGTCTGACGAGCGACATGAGGAAACTTTGGGGGTAATGGAATGTTTCTATATCTTGCTTATGGTGGTGGTCACAAATCCCTATGGGTATGTGAAATTCCCAGAACTTCCCACTGAAAAGAATGAATTTTATTCTGTGTAAATCAGGTGTTAATTTTTTAAATGGAAACACAGCACGGGTTAAAAGCAGGTTTACAGTTGCTTGTGTGTAAAATAATGTAATAATAACTAATCATACAATAATAAACTGTGTTTTGCAGATTCATAAATGTAAACCTACTTCTGCTCCACCCTGTAGAAAGAAACAGAAAAACAGTATGCTGTATTAAATTACTTTGTTGAAAAAAGTCTAACATATACACATTTTTAGAGATGTTGATAAAGCCTTCCAAATTTCCTTCCAAGAACACTGGTTCCAGTTCATACCACCTCTGTCAGAGGAGGGAGAGGGTTTGGTTTTTGTACCCTCATTGACACCCTGTGACAGAGAGGGCGCTTCTAGGGCACTTTTCACGATGCCTCACTCAATGTGGGCACGCTCCAAGGCTTTAAAAAAACCCATTTTATTTATTTTTAGAGAAAAGGAGGGAGAGAAACATCCATATGTGGTTGCATCTCACACACCCCGTACTGGGGATCTGGCCTGCAACCTAGGCATGTGCCCTGACTGGGAATTGAACCAGTGACCCTTTGGCTCACAGGTAAGCACTCAATCCACTGAGCCACACCAGCCAGGCCACATACCAGGGCTTTGCTAGCAATGTTGATTCCAGGTACGTGGAATCCCTGCCAGGGATAAGTGACATCCCCACTCCTGAAGCCATTCACTGTGCTGATGGAGGAAAGGAAGGATGGAAGATAGCATGTATGTTGGGAGGAGAGATGGCCTCGGAACTCGGGATCTGAGGACAGTGGCAGCAGTGTTGAAAAGGGAGGTGGGTGAGGAGAGCAGGATAGGTCTTCTGGGAGCTGAGAGGTTTGGAGTGACAACTGGATCTCATTCCTCTACCCCCAAGCCTAGCACACCCGTGGCATATTAGATTGTAAGAACGGACAAATTATATCAGATTGAGGAACGAATAAACGAGTAAGTTAAGAGACTAAACGTTTTGGGTCAGCAAAGATAAAACTTCCTTGGTTTGGGACTTGGAGGTTCAAACTCAGTTTAAGACTGTGGCCATGCAAACCTGAGGACTTCTTACTGAGTCCCACCAGAGAAGGAGAAAGTTGGCACAGGTGAATGGGGGAGCACACAACATCAGGGGCTCCACTAGGTCCCCACACCTCAAAGGAGCTGATGACACAGCTCCTGCCTGTCAGTACTGTATCCTGATTCTCAGCTCTAGGGACTAAGTGAAGGGTGGGGTCTTGGGCCAAATGCTGGGTCATTTTAGCTGGAGCCCAGCGGCTGTATAGGCGAGATAGGGTTGAGCGAGAGGAAGTGGAGTGGGCATGCCTGGGTGCTGGCTGGGGGCCAGAGCTGGGGGCCGAAGGGGCTGGGGGTGTGGCTTCTGGGGAAGAGGTGGGGGAGGGGAGGATCTGCCCTTGCTTCAGGAAGCCTGTAAGAGGCAGCAGGAGTCTCCTGAGAGCTGGTGGGTGAGTAGGCAGGTCAGCAGGACAGGTAATGAGAAGGACAGAGCTAGGGAGGCACGTTAACAGCAAAAAGGACAGACTGTGTGTGTGTGTGTGTGTGTGTGTGAGAGTGTCTCTCTGTGTGTGAATGTGTGTGCACGTGTCTCCACGTGTGAAAGCACAGAAGCCCCTCCCTGACCCCAAACCTTATGCTCTAAGTTTTACAATTTGCATCTTTTTTTCCTTATCACCCTAACTGTGACAAAACTAAGATTGTGTTTGCACATGTAGGGGGTTATTTGTGAGCAGGAGTGACAGTCTTGACCAGCCAGGAGTCTGTGTGTGTGTGTGTGTGTGTGTGTGTGTGTGTGTAAGAGAGAGAGCCAGAACGAATGCATTCGGTGAGGGATGAATGAGTGAGTGAATGAATGAATGAGTGAATGAATGTGAGTTTTTAAGAAACTCCTTGGAACGTGTGTTTGTGAACAATGTAATATCCAAGACGCCTCTCCCTGGCCACACAGCCCCCACCCTGGATGTCTAATCCCAGAGCATTCCAGGGAAGTCTGTACCTGAGGTTCTAGAAAAGTCGCACCAGCACCTAGATGGATCCCTGTCTTAGGATAGGAGGCACACTTTTGGGGCCAGTTTCTGGGAATCTAGAGAGTGTGGGAAGTCGTCAGACCCTGTGAACCCTCCCTGGGTTGCGGGGCCCAGACTGGGTGGAGCAGCCACACCTGCCTGAAGTTTCGAGGAAGAGGCGGAAACAGTACCGGGCACCGCCCTCCCACAGGGTCTGCGGGCTCCTGCGGTCTGCCGTGCACAGTGGGTCCCGTGACCTTCTCACTTCCCTAAATGGGCAACTTCACTTTTAGAAGTTAAGATTCTCCCCTGGCAGACCCAAGGGGTCCAGACTGCACCGGCTTGGAGCCCCGACCTTGCATACGGGGGGCGTCCTGGCCCCCTGCTGGCCTGCGACTGTCGCGGCTGGATGGAGCCATGGCTCCCACACTGTTACTGCTGCTCTTCCTCCTGTGGCTCCAGGGCTGCGTTTCAGGTGAGCAGGTGGGTGGGCTGGCTGGGCGGGCGGGGCGTACGGCCTTTTCCTGGACCCCCCAACGGGCTATTTCTTGCTCAATGATCTTGCTTAATATTTTGTGGAGTTGGAGGAGGGGGAGGAGGAGCTCGGGCTGGCCTAAGCAGCTCCTTACCAGAGACCAATGAGAAGCTTCCATCTTAATACCTGGCCCCAGGCAAAGCTCCTGAGGTCTCACAAAGCTCTGGACCATCTCTGCGTGGCTTCCTCATGACTTCTGACCAGGGACACTCGAGTTCCTCACACAAAAAGCCTCTTCCCTTGGCTTCTGTGAGGAAGGCCCCGTTTGGTTGTTACAGGAATCATTGCATCATGTGTGCGTGTGCTTTGAACTTGCTTTTTCTCAGAATGCTGACGCCACTACGCCCTGTCCAGAGTGGAAGCAATCCCTGAAGTCCTCTCCCACCCCACAAACACCAATGTTCTTCAAAGGGGGAGGGGGTCACCCAATCCTGCCTCCTTCGCTGCCATGGCAACCAAGTTACCACTTCCTGATCAGCTCTGGGCATGGTGGGGGTTGGCAAAACATACTCCTCACCACCTGTGAGGGGATGGGCGGTGGACAGGAATGAACACAGTACCCTGGAGACCCTTTTCCAAGGTCACCCCATCCACGCACCTTCCCCAGACATAACCCTCTCTGTGCCTGGCCTGTTCCGAGCCATCCTGGGGTCCCCCCAAACCTCCCACCCTCCAAATAACTGAGTTGAATCATTCTATTTAGTTTGTGTGGGACAAAGTGGTGCTCAGAGGGGGCGTTACCTCACTCCAAGCCTCAACTACAGTGGCAGCTGGGTTGGAAACTGAGGCAGATCTCTTAGGTGCCAGGCCTTTGGTTATCAGCTCTGGGCTCTAGTACAGAAGTCTGGAGCTACCTGCATTTGGAAAAAGGAAGTATACATTGAGCACCTACTATACTCAAGGCACTGTACTGGGATATAGTTCTCACAGCCAACCTGATCTGTTCATGCGGTAGAATCAGAGTTTTAACCCAAGTTTATTTAGACTCCAAAATGTGCGCTCTGGTCTGTCCCACGGGGTGTGGGGGGGAACTTGTGTGTATTGCTTGTTTGCAGAAGGCTCTGGTGTGTTAAGGAGCAGGTGCTGAGCTTACAGCAGGCAGAAGGGTAGAGGGACCCTCCCCACCTCTCTCTCTCCCCTGTCCCCCTATTCAACCACCCTGACCTAGTTCTACTCTCTTCCCGCCAGACTGTGGGTCATAAAGTGCACAGACCACGTCCATCTTACTCCCAGGCATAAAATCAACGTGTTGGAAATGAACAGTGGATAATTGTAGAATTCTTTGGCTTGTACCCTGATGAAAATTTCTGTGCACTTTGGGGCATATTCAATCTATGGGTTTTATGGAGCTAGTATATTTTAAAATTAAAGACCACCTAGAATGAGCCAATGCAACTTGCTATTTAAAATGTATCTATGGTGAACCTATTGTAAAATAAATAACTACTCTTAATGTTTTAAAATTAAGATTGGATCTTCTTATCTACTTAAGTCATTTGTGCTCTGGAATTTCATAACTTAAAAGCCTGTGCTTGCATTTGTGTGTCTGTCTTCTTGAGGTCAAATCCTGAGTCTTGCCCATGAAATTCTGAAGGTGGGGCTTGTCATGTTCCCATCAGACTAGAAAATACCATGAAGAAAGGGGCCTGCACCTCCCCCCGCAGACCGAGTCAGCTCCCTCCGAGTGGGGCTGTTTCTCCCTCAGACTGTGCATCCCATGTCCGCAGGGCAGTACCCACCTCCTCTCCATTCACCACGAGCTTCAGGTTTCAAGATGTCACCTTCCTCCTCTCTTGCCAGACCTTGCTCAACATGGCGTGTCTCCCCAGGTGCTCCTGCCGAGAGTGTGTACTCCAAAGTGCAGCATTTCGAAGGGGAGACCCTGTCTGTGCAGTGCTCCTACAAGAGCCGCAAAAAACACGTGGAGGGCAAGGTCTGGTGCAAAATCCGGAAGAAGAAGTGTGAGCCTGGGTTCACTCGGGTCTGGGTGCAGGGACCGCGCTACTTGCTGCAGGACGATGCCCAGGCCAAGGTGATCAATATCACCATGGTGGCCCTCAGGCGCCAGGACTCGGGCCGCTACTGGTGCATGCGCAACAGCTCTGGAACCCTCTACCCTCTGATGGGCTTCGAGCTGGAAGTATCTCCAGGTGAGCAGGCCTGCTGGGGCACTGGGGTGATTGGGGATGTCCTTCTTGCCCTGCACTCCACTAACATTGGATATACTGAGAATAATAATCCTTCAGTGGGCATGTTGCACAGTGGGGCTTTCACAGGCAGCTTCATGAACATTATTGTCACCACTTTGTAGATGAAAAAAAAAAATGAGGTATAAAACCACCTATGTGTCTCTGACCTTAACCAAGATAACAGAGCTAGAAAGCAGCAATGGTGAGATTCAAACTCAGGACTCTGCTTTGTTTTCTTCAGTCTTCTGTTTAATATATATTCATTGAGCCCTGATTCTGTGCCAGCCACTATTCTAGGCCCTGAGGATACAGTGGTGAGCAAAAACAGACACAGTTCTGCCCTAGGGGAGATGACTGACAATAGTACATCTTCAGACAATAATTGCAGATGACAACTAATATTCTTAAGCAAATGAAACAGTGTGATAAACTAAAAAGTAACTCAGTGGTGGGGGGAGCCACTGAAGTACCAGGGTTCAGAGAAGACCTCCTTCAGCAAATGTCATCAAGCAGAGCCCTAAGTGATGAGAGCTTTCTAGCTCTGTTGAAATGTAGGTGCTTCAAAGTTCATTTCAAGTGGGGAGAAATGCATGTACAAAGGCCCCGTGGTGAGGAGCTAGGGTCATATGAAGCAGGCCTGTGTGGCTGTCCATACTGAGTGTGGGGCAGAATGATAGGAGATGAGGTTGGAGAGCCAAACAGCAGCCCTAAAGTCCACAATAAAGGAGTTTGAGGTTTATTCTAAGTACAATCGTTATTGCAGAGCTTATCGGGGTGTGGCTTATCTTTAAGACATTAATGGCTGCTATGTAGAGGATTGTGGAGGGATAAGTGAATAAGCAGAGAAAAACTGTGGGCATTTGATGTGGATCCCGGCTCCTGGGCTCCACGGCATTATGGATGAGATGAGACAAATTCACACCCCAAGTCCTGTGGAGGAAGAGGGATGGTTCAGCTTCTCTCTCAAGAGGAGAAAAGTCTCAACCTTTGCCTTGACAAGCTTTTGTTGGGTTCAATTTGCACAGGAATACAGGGTGTATATGTAAAGCTCATCAATCAATGTCAGACAGTAATGATTAAACAATAGATAACATTCAAAGGACTCTGAGGGCTTATTCTGAGTCAGGGTCAGACAGTTAAAGGGCCATAAAACTTTGGGGAACAAACTCACCCCCTGCTTGGACCCTTATCATTTAAATTGAGGGTATTAGCAAAGTAGGTGTCATAGGATTTTATGCATTCTTTCTTAGGCCTGATCACCCTAGGAAACCCACCCTTTCCAGCATAGGGCAGCACACATGTCCAGCATTGTTTTGGGTTTAAGGCATTGTTTCGGGCTTAAGTCAGGCAGGGAAAGTAAGGCAGTCAAGAGATTAGGAGACTTCTTGCAGACAGAATGAGAACTCAGGCTATGTCAAAGCCAAGGGGCGAGGTTCCATCACCCCCTTTTTCTTTAGCCCCCAAGTTCTTCCCTGAGGGTCCCTTTGCATCCATGCCTGTCTTAGGTCGTCACTCTTTCGAGGACTCTTACCCATCATTGGCTAACCAGTCATCCGCTTGAGGCCAGGCAGAGTGAAGAGAAAGGGGGCAGAAGTGGTGCCCCTACAAGGAAGATAAGCTTTGTCTCCTAAGTGGCTTATGGTCCCAAGGTCATTTACTCAGCATTAGCCATGGGGGATTACAGCTTCTGAAACCAGGCAGGGAAGTTCCCAACAGGTATCCTGCCTGGAAATGACAGTGTCTTAGAATAGGATATGGTCCCTGGAGGTGGAAAAAAGTGGAGGGGCCCCAATTTATGATGGTCACACTCTTGCCCTTGCTGTATGTTTTTGAAGTAAGACTGGATTTGCTCATGTGAGAGCTGAGCAAAAGCAAAACATCAAGGATGACCTCAAAGTGTGCCATTTCACCTGCAAGGTGGAAGGTGGTACCATGGACTGGGTAGGGGAGATCTGACAGAGGAGATAGTTTGGAGGAGTTTGGAGGAGAAAAATGAAGAGCTCTATTTTATCATGTTACCTTTAAGATACCTCTTAAAGCCTCACATGGAGAAAGGAAGAAGACAGTTGATGTATCAGCCTGAAGCTCAGGTGAAAGGTCAGAGCTGGGGATATATTTAAAAGTATCTATATAAAGACAGTTTAAAGTTATAAGTATTAGAGAAATCTATAGAGACAGAAAGTAGATTAATGGATGCTTGGGGCTGAGAGGTAACGGCCAGTGGATGAGGAGTTTCTTTTTGAGATGATGAAACTATTCTAAAATTGACTGCGGTGATGTGGTGTGACTCTGTGAGTTTACTAAAAATCATTTAATTTGACACTGTAAATGGGTGTGTTATCAGAGATGTAAATTATATCTTGATACAGTTCTTAAAAATTCATGAAGATATAAGCTCTCTGTTGAGTGTAGAAAAAGAAGAGAGGGCCGAGAACCTAGCCCCAATGTCCTCCCATGTTTATGGATAGGAAAGGGTGAATGGTCAGCGAAGGAGCCAGAAAAAAGTAGCCAATGATTCTGAAGTTCATTACCTATTCTTCTCTGTTCCCCCAACCCAACTGCATCCCCTGTCTTTTGTTGGGTCTGAACGAGGCCAACTGCTCTCTGTAAGATGCTGAGTTCAATCTCCTTCCTCCACTCTCCAGTTCTAATTTAGATCCAGGGAAGTGGTTGAAACCAGTTGAAACTTGTAGGGATACAAACATGAATTTGGTATTGCACTATGTCCAATCTCACTTTGCATCTCTTAATGACAATTTGGGGAGATTCCAAATTCGCAGACCCTTTCATTTACTAGAAAATAAAAAATCCCCAGCCCAATTGAAATCATCTAGAAATATATGCTTTGCTTTACTCCTCCTTGAAGACCAAGTTTCATGGCCCAAGGCACCTGAAATGAGAAAGAGGAGTAGCCTGCTGACTAACTCCTCCTTCATCACTGGAGGCGAGGAAGTGGGTTTCTCTTAGTCACCTTTTCCATGTTTTCCCCCTCACCCCCAACTCCTTGGTGTACTGGAGCAGGAATAAAGGTTGTGTGGCTTCACTGACCCTTGTTAGAATTCTCTTTCTGTTGGGTGTCACTTTTTTTCTGCCCAGCCCTGTGAGGTCCTCTATGAAGAGAGTGTCTAAGTGGCTCTCCCAAGGCGCCTACGTGTGAGCTCTTTGAAGAGTCCTTCGGTTCTGCTCAGTAGGCTGCTGATGTGGGACATCTGGCTGTAGGTCAGCCCCTTTCTCTATGCCCACCTCAGCAATGCCACTTGTTCTGGGTTTCCTTGCCCAGAAAAAAAGGGCACCTTCAATGGTGACCCCTGGCCCTAAGGAATAGGGTCCTCACCATGCACAGTTGAGGGATTCAGCAGCCTTCTCTAACCCCCTGCCATCTCTCTCCAGTTTTCTTGTTCCCAGCAGAGAAAGACCCAACACTGCCCCCTAGATTAGACCTCAGAATTACAACTCCTTATCCTTGACCTTGCAAACACCAGCCTTCTAGAAAATGGAGTGGTTAAAGGTCTGGGTTAATGGATGAGGGTAGCAGGGCTGGTATCTCTTAGAAAAACCCCAAGAAAGGTGTCTGACCCTGCTGCTTGTGGCGTTCTTTGGAATCTAGGCCTTTCATGCTTCTTGGTCCTCGTCTCTGGACCCTAGTCATTAATTATGGAGCAACTGGAAAAGTCTCACCCCAACATCACAGTAGAGAAACCTCTTTGACCCACAGAAATGAGGAGGGTCTAGAAGTGACAAAAGAGCTGGGGACGGGTCCCAACTGTGGGCCCAGGAGGCCTGGCGGGCAAGGCTAAAGAAACTCTGAAGTTCTGTTCCTTCTTTACTGTGCCTACTTCTTCTTCCTGACACCACCCTCTGAACAAATACACACCTGGTCCCTCAGCAGAGCAGAAGTGTGGGTCTCAGTTCAGGAGGGGAGACGAGGACAGGCCTCACCCCGGCATAGAGACAGCCAGGTGGGTTGCCAGGATGTGTTCCCAACACCTAGGCCCCTAACTCACTCTAATGTTCCTCCCTCTCTGTTCCCTCAGTCCCCACAGCCGAGAGAAACACTCCTCTTACACAGCTGGCCAAGACCCTCAAGAGTGGAGTTGTCACAACGGGCCGAGCTCCCACCTCAGGCTCTGATGCCCCTTTCACCACCAGTATGAGGATGTTCACACCCGGAGTCCTCACCTTGGACAGACTTTTGCCCTCCAGTGCCTCAGAGACCATCCAACTGAGCTCCACGGCAGGCTACAGCTTCACCAGCCCCTCTGCCCTGGGGCCCAGAAGGACCAAGGGGCTCCAGACTGTGACTGCACCTCCCGGCGTTGCCAGAGCCTCCTCAGCTGGCCCCGTGTCCATCTCCACTAGGGCCAGCCACCTGCGCACCAGATTGCCCACCACGAGAACATGCCACACCAGCAGATCTCTCCTCAACAAATTATCCCCTATCAGGTACCCATGGGTCTGGGGGCTGAATGACACTTTACCAGGCATGGCCACAGTTCTCAGTGCCGCAAGATGCAGAAGTTATAGCAGACCTTCCCCTTTTGCCCACCCCTTCCCATGAGGGTTTGTGGATGGAGAGGAGGGAGTAGGGACAAGACAGGGTGGTGGCTTGGAAAATGGGGAATGGGGGATGCTTTAATTTGGGTTCCTCCAGAAGCAGACTCTGAGACCGGGATTCGCATCATATTTGGAACACGGGGAGCGCATGGAGAAGTGAGACGGGGAGGAAGGAAGGCAACGGACAGAGTGCTTAACCCAGGCACTGCCACTGCGGGCAGCGAGGACGCAGCCCCTGTGGGGAACTTAGGGCCCCAGTGTCAAGCAGCCACCTGAGTGGCAAGATAGCTGGGGTATTTATATACCCACTCCTGTTGGGCATCAGGAGAGGGCTGTAGCCAAGTGTGGCCAGTGACAAAAGAAAGTCCTTAGGCCAAAATATATATATGCATACATACATGTGAATGGAGGTGCTGATGTCAGGTACACACGGAAGTGATACAGGCAAGAAATACAGGCAGGACACCGGCAGCATCTGTTAGAGACCAAGGTGCTAAGAGATATCCTCCATCACTATGACAGAATAAGGACCTTTGTCTTTTCTGTCACAAATGGGGGTCTCTTAGAGTCCCTGTCCTCAACAATAAGCAGACTTGGGGGAATAGAGGATGGGTGCTCCCCTCTGTCTGGGGACTTCCTCCCCTGAACTCTGAGTGCCTCAGTTCCTTCTCCCACAGCTGAGTCCTCAAGAAAGAGACCATCGCTCCCTGCGGGGCCATCAGGGTTTCCCCCTTCTGAGTCCTGTCATGTGGTGTTCGGAAAGACGTGGGTCGAGGTGGGGAACCTGGTGCTCACCTCCCCACTCTGTCCCGCCTTCTCAGGCACCAGGACTCCAACCCCATTGTGCTCCTGGGGGTGCTGGCCTTCCTCTTGGTGCCTGTGACGATGATCGTGGTCTATGGGTTCTGGAGGAAGAGACACATGGGAAGTGAGTAGAGCCCGTCCTCCCAGGCCCCTGGGGGCTTGACACACTTTCCACAGTGCCTGAGTGTGGATGGTCCCCAGGCGGTATATCCTCACCTGTGCCCAGCCGGGAGGACTGTGAGGTGCCCAGGTGAGGGAGGAGGGTGGGCAGGCAGGTGCAGCATTCCCCGGGGCTGACCTGGCAGGAAGTGGAGGCACGGCCAGCAGACAGGCTGCTCTAGCCCAGGAGCACAGGGCACGATGAGAAGGAGCCCACCCTTCTTCAGCTCTCTCCCTGGTCCTCACAGGCTACAGAATATGCAGGGACCCTGTTCGACCCTGGAGGGACCCCCCTGGAAGACCGGAGCCTCCTTGGACACCTGCTTGGTTTAAGGCCACTTATGGAGTGGGCGAGCTTCTCCCAGAGGGACCCCAGGAGGCTGTAAGAGGAGTGAAGATGAGGACCTGTCTGGACTGGAGCCAGGTTGGGGGGTGAGGACTTACGCAACGCTGGGCTCAAGCCCTCCCTAACCCGAGGCTGCACTTCACCTGCTCAGTGCCCCTGGGCTGCCAGGAACCTGGGGAGAGGCCCAGAGTGGAGGGCACCATGCAGCAGGTCCCAGGGGAAGCTGCTGAGGGAATTCTGCTTAGAGCCACAGCTGACCGGGACCCAGCTGGGTGGTGCTGTTTACAGACAGAGCCTCAGCTCCCATTGGCTCAGAACCCCTGCTGTCAAGCTGAGGGGAGGGCGAGTGGGGTGGGGTGGACAGCTGTCCTCTCTCTACCAGGACCCTATGTCCTCAGCTTCCCTCTGCTCCCCTCAAGCTTCCCCATGAACTTAGGGAAGAGTTTCAGAGGCAGCCCATGTCCCAACGGTTGACCCTGGAGGAGAAGGAACAGTGAATAAGAACTGGGGGTCCCTAGAAGCATTGGCAGCAGGGTACCTCAAAGCTGTCCAAGCCTGCATCCCCTGAGCCATGTGTCCTCTGACTGACCTGTGATAACGCCCTGCCCTGATTTGGGCTACTTGTCCCTCAAGTCCTGGGAGCCAGCAGAGCCTGCCCTCTCACTGCTGCCTCCTGCTGGCCAGATTCTCCTGTGACAGCTGTGACGGGCAGCTGAGAGCCCCCCTCAGCAGCAGGACCACCAGCCTGTCCCCAGACTGGGGTGCAGAGGCTGAAGTCAGGGCTGTCTCTCCCAGTTCCTACACCTGGACTCCAGGCATGAGCTCTTGCAGGAGACTGAGGGCCCTCCAGGGTCCACTGAACAGGGGACTGCAGCTCAGAGAAAAGACAATTGGCACCCCCAACCTCAGAGTCTCATTTTCTCCTGGGGAGAGAGGAGCCGTTGGGACCCAGCAGACAACTCACAGCTGATGACAGCCTGGTAGGGGTGAGGTGAGGTTGGGAGGATGGAGCCCAGGAGCCCGAGCCCAATTGCCTGAGTCTTCTGCCCCTGCCTCATAGGCTCCTGAGCTCAGACTTGGCTCGTCTACAGGGAAAGCTGGAGAATACGGGCTGCATTCACCCCCTGAAGAGCAGGGGGCCACCAGCCTGGAGTAACCGAGAAGGCACCTGGGGATAGATGTGGCATCTCTACTCTCTGCCCTGGGTCAGGGTCCTCCCAAGTGGGCTAGCATGTGCCATAGGCAGGAGACACAGCCAGAGCCTTAGTGGGGCCACTCCAAGATGGATTTGGGGAAAGAGGAGGGGGCAGGGGGTAATCCTATGGGACCCTAGGAAGGAGGCACCTCTTCCCCATGTCCAGGAGAGGGCACTAGCGGGCAGACTCAGACTGAGGAACTGCCTGGCCTGTGGCTGGTACACACACACACACTCACACACACACACTGACATCTGTCCTCCCTATCAGGAAGGTATGGCCACCACCTGGTAGTAACCGGGAGCAGGTTTAACTCACTTGAGGGAAAATGGGTCCCTGAGAGCTCAGCTCCATCTTGACCCTGCAACTGGCATGACTGCCCTGCTTCCCATGTGAGTGGGGTGCCCCTGGGAGAGCCCTGCAGGGGGCTGAGGCCGGGACCCAGGGCGCCCGGGGTGCCAGCCGCTCCCGTGTGACCCTGTGCAAGTCACTAACCTAGTGGGCCTCATTTTTCCTCTCCTGTGAAAGAGGACACTAATTCCTACCTCGAAACTTTTCAGAATAAAACAGAAGAACGTGAACTTTAGATGACTGAGTGCCTTATGATTGCTGGTCTTCAAATTCTTTTCACGTTAACACATTGTGTCATATTCTACATTTTTAGAGAACCATGGACACCGTTTGTTTTGTCCTCGACTGTAAGAGGAAAGAGGGCAGAGGGGAAGACAGTCCCCAGGTGGTGGGGCTGGGTCCAGGCAGAGGCCTGGGCTGCGCCCAAATGTCAGGCAGAGTAGCCAACAGGGTGACCTCCGTCCCTGCTTGCCCAGGATAAGGGGTTCCTGGGGGACCCCCATGTGCTGCCCATCGTGGAGCCTGCTCCCGCACGAACTCCGCCGGAAGGGGGACACTGAGTCCTGAGAGGAGGTGCAGACCTCGTGCCCTGGATCTCCAGCTGCTGTGGGCTTGGTGTCCTCTTTGGACTCCAGGCTTTTGGGACATTTCTCCCCACATCCTAGGATTTAACTTCCTTCTTTCTCTTCTCACCCTTGTCCCCAGAGCTCCGGGGGACCCAGATCCTAGCGGGGAGGTGCAGGGAGGGCGAGGGTTTCAGACAGGTCAAGGCTGCGACTGACTGCCTTTGGTGGGTGAGACAACCAAGCTTCCTGAGCAACAGGCCCAGACGCCAGACTTGCCTGTGAAGGATGTCCCGCAGTGCCCAAGGGAGAGAACGGAGAAAACCCAGCGCCCCGGGACCTTTGGACTGAGGAGTGGCAGGTGGACCTGATACCTTCCACTATGAGGCCAGCAAACAAGCCTGAGCTTCACAGTTCTCTGAATGGCTCCAAACTGGTTTTCACTTCCTATCAAACTGAGTTGGTAGACAGTCAGCTGGGCCATCCTGCTTCTCCTTCAGAGCTGATAGACTTCTTGCCCCAGTGCTGGAAGCAGTGAGAATAGAAGGCTTCCTCTCAAAGGCAGACCTCCCAGCCCCCCTGGGCAGCCCACTGCCCCGACCACAATGCAAGGGACTAAATTTCTGGCACTCCCTGCCATCCAGGTAAGTCCTGAAGGGCGGCCTGTCTTCAGAAGTGCTTCAAAGGGTGGCCTGAGCTTCCTGTTGCCCAAGGGCTGCTTCCTGCCCTTGTCTCCCCAGGCAGGTCCCTAGCGCTTCCAGCTCCTCGTGCTAATCCCCACCTCAGGGGGCTGCTTCCTTCCAACCCAACCTGCCACGCTGCCTGCTTACAAGGTTTTCTCTTCACTTCGTTGCTGGACTCTTAACTATGAGCAACCTGTGACAATTATTTTTCTGTAGCTCATCTAATGACAATTCTTTTCTTTTTTATTTTAATTTTTATTTTTCAATGACAGTTTACTTTCAGTGTTATTTTACATTGGTTTCAGGTGTACAGCACAGTGGTTAGACACATATTTTACACAGTGGTCCCCCCGCCCCCCAATATTTCCAGTACCTACCAGGCACCGTACGTAGCTATTACAATATTATTGACTGTATTCCCTATCAGTCACAGGGATGCAAAGCACAAATTATTTTTAAGTGTGTTTGATTAGTGTGGTCTTTCAACAAATGCTTATGGAGCGATGATAATGGCAGGCTGGCAGCTGGCGACACGGGGACAGGGCCCCCCTGCTGCACCCCATCCCCCTCCCCCGTGGTCTGCTTTGCTCTCTCTCATCCTTGCCAGGGACTCCCCTGCATCTCCATTTCTGGAAACGAGTCTCCGTCTCCTTCTCCTGTTCCCCTGCAGTCCCCACAGGGTTTCCAATCCCCAGCAGGCCTGGGCAGGAAGCCTCTGACAACTGGGGATGCTCAGAGGGTCCCCTAACGGTGCCACTCACCTTCGGCCCCTTTTGTTGGGTGGGGAGAAGGAAGCTGAGGCTGGGAAGGAAGTGGTAGGTCACAGGAGAGAAGGAGGGAGGAGAAATGGATTCTCGTTTCACCATGGTTTCCTTCTGGGCTTTCACAGATCCCCCCACCCCAGGGAGAGGGAGACGGCCTGACCGTGTTGGTCTCAAGAGAGCCTCCGCCCAGGCCAGATGCAGCACTGCAGGGGGAGGTCTCGGCTACAGGCCAAGGCCTCTCCCTCCCCCCAGGCCCCCACTTCCCCACCAGAGGCCTGTGCCTTCCTCGTCTCTTCTTCCCAGACAGGCTGGGGTGGCAGCGCTGAATCCCACCCAGCTCTGTCTTCCCCTCCCAAGGGGCTTCCCTGCTCCCACCCCAGCTCAAGAAGAGGGCCATGGCCTGGGAGGCCACACAGCTGCTGCCACTTGTCCTGCTGGTGCTCCTGGTCTCAGGTGAGGGGCAGGTGAGGGCCAGAGGGAACAGGGCAAGAGGAGGAGGGATGGCCAGGTGTGGTGGGCTTGGAGGGGTTAGGCGGAGAAAAGGGGCCAGGGCCGGTGCGGGGCACATTGTGAGTGTGGACACAGAGAGGACTTCCTGAGTAGGGCGGTCCCATCTCACAGCTCTGTGCTGGTAGCTGGGGCCTCCCTAACCTGAGGGTTTATTCTCAGGCTCCTGGGAACAGCGGCCAGAATTGCTGCGGAAACTGGAGGGTGAGACCATCTCCATGAGATGCTTGTATCCACCCCAGAAACGTCCGAACACATAAGTCTGGTGCAGAGAAACATCAGCGCATATTTGTACCATACTAGTCACCCACCCTAGGCTCAGGACAGGGCCTGGGAAGCCTCCATAGTTCATCCAGGATGACCCCAGATCGGACAGCTTCATCAACACCATGGCTAAGCTTGCGATGAAGGACTCGGGGCCCTGTTGGTGTGGAACCTTCCAGGGTCGTTTTTCTGAAACCACCCATCCGGTGGTATCTCAGCGTGAGTTCTTTCCCTTCTTAAGTGTGCTTCTCAGGTTTCCTGAGTCAGAAGATACTAGTGCTGGAAAGGACCCTAAAAGTAATTTCCTTCGACCCTCTCACATCTGAACACTGGGGTTCCTTGCCCAAGGTCACTAGCTGGGAAGGGCAGAACCACCACCAGAACTCAGAGCTGCTGGCTTCCGGTCCTTCCTTTGCCGCCCTTCTGTTCTTCCTTCGCCCACACACACATTTCTCTGAGCGTTTTTGTTGTTATGAACGGGGCTCCTCCACGGATTTGTAATGATCATTAAGCTTTCCCAGGCCTAAGCAAGGCTGGCTTATCGGTCCGCTCTAGAGCATTTCTACCCCCGATCCCAATCCCCAACCTTCTCTCAAAGGGCTGTGCTTGGGTCACGGGTAGGTAGTCGGGGGTCAAGACACGTGAACCGACTGGAGACGGCCACAGTGATAGAGACACGAGACTTCAGGGGTGAGGCTGGGTGGTGTAGTGGCCTATGCCTCAGAAGGTCTGGGCCTTTACCTGGGACCTGCCGCCCACCCTAAAACCTGAACGAAAGTCCTTAAGCCTCAGAGTAGGAAGCTTGAGGCTGCCCCTAACCCTGAGGCTGCCCCTAACCCGGAGGCCCTGGGGTGTGCCTCCTAAATGTGTCAGAGATGCAAAGCTCCCCTGCATTTCTCTGTGAGCATCAGGCATTAAAACACTTCCTCAGACCCTGGCCCTGCTGCCCAGCCTGCCCAGCCGTCTGGTCAGCCGGGTGCCTGTCGGACCAGATCAGCTGTTCGGTCAGTCTCTGCCCCAAACTGCCCACCACCCGTTCCATGTAGTGCATGGGGCTGGGCAGTGGAAGGGGAATCGAAACCTGAGACCCCCTCCTGTGCTGGAGGTCCAGCCTGCGTGACAGATGAGTGAAGGGCTCTGATGCAGCATGGCAGGTGGCAAAACGGAGGCATTTGGAGCGGGGCCCAGTGAAGGGCGGGCCCAGGGTGCTGGTGAAGGCCAGGGATGTGGATTCTCCCAGAAGAGGAGACACTAATGGGTCTGGTTGGATGAGCAGGAATTAATCCAGGGGAGACAAGAGGGTTGGGAGAGAGGTGGGAGGCATTACAGGTTGAAAGAGCATGACATGTTGCAAAACAGTAAGATTAGAAGAGACTAGATCAGGGGTCCCCAGCATGCTGGCCGTGGACTAGGAACAGGGTTGCACAGCAGGGGGCAAGCAGTTGGGTGAGCAAGGGAAGCCTGAGCTTCACCCCTGTCTTCTCCGCCCCCCACCCCACCCTCCCCCTGCCCTCTCTCCACCCTGTCCGTGGAAAAGTTGTCTTTCATAAAACCTGTCCCTGGCACCAAAAAGGTTGGGGACCGCTGCTGTAGAATATATCCTAGGTGTCACAGATGACAGTGTGACACCTTATCTAAGCTGCTTCCCCTGA